TACTTGTAAAGACAGCTCCGGGTATGGCCCTAATTGGGATTAAATAATTACTACTGTCCGCACTGCCCTGTTCTACTCCAAGTTCCACTCCTCTCTGCTCCACCCCTGGTTCCGCCTCCTTTCGTCCTACTCCAGGTTCCTCCTTTTTACACAATTCCTAAATTAAAATTCATTTAATTCCTTTTTATTTCATTTGACTCCACGTTAAACTAACCATTCCCAATCTCCCAATATTTTAATCACACTTTTATAGTAATACATACCTATCTACCTTTAACCCATTTCTTACGAATAACATTTCTCTAAACCCTAGCGAATACCATTTTATTATTAATTTTTACATCTTCCAATCTAATACAAATCGAATGTCTTACGCAGCGAGCATCTTTTCATTTTTTTTCAAAATAAAATGTTGTAAAAAAAAACCGTATTTAAGATCTTCCATACATCCCATTTATCTAATTATGTTACGTATTCTCACCTTAAACCTTTCTGATACACATTTAACAGCTCTGCTCCCTTCAGTCTTTCCCTTCTTCACATCCTCTTTCACCAAAGGTCTTCTCCTAAAAATTAATAATTCTTATTGTGCATTACGTTCATTTTTCTGTTAAACTGTACTTTTAAACTGCTTTGAATACAACAAACAGTCCCTTTAAACTTTATTTTCTACTTACAAACTCAAACTTGCTTCCAATCTTCTTTTATTATCAAAAAAAAAACAATTCAATTTATATTCACCAATTAACCTTTTCCAAAAAAAAAACCTTTTCTTTCAAACCCCACACATTTTCCCATGGATTCCCATGTTTTCTTTTCATTACAAAACCTGTTACTAACCTTTTCCGTAGATATATGGCAATTATAAGTATCCCTATGATGAGAACTCCAACCACTACTACTATTACTATAGTTACAGTACTATCTTCAGGTTCGTTATGGTTCTTCATCACATCCCCTATACTCTTCTCTAAGGTACTTGGAATGTCCTCTTGCACTATTTTCTCCACCGCCTCCTTCATGTTTACATCCATCACCGCCTCCTTCATGTTTACATTCATCACCCCCTCCGTCACGTTTACATCCGTCCACTCCTTCACTATATTTTTAGTGAATACATCTGCTTCCAAACTAGGTCGTTCTCCGCTTTCCATAACCTTCCTACTTCCGGTTCCAATCTCGTCTATAATAGTCCTGACCCCTTGGTTCTTGTTCCCATCAAATTCGCCAGCAACCTCGAACATTTCATGGCCCACGCGCAAATTTAAATTAACTATATTCTTCGGTTCTAACTTTACTATCACGGTGTTTGTTAAACTCTTTGGTTCTCTCAAAAACTTCACGTCCTCTTCTGTACTATCAAAATCGCCAGGATAATCATAGCTTCTGTCCTCCCCACTCCAC